CTAGCTTTCAATTTCAATTTCACAAGTTACCGATTTTTATTACATCAGTGAAGACAACTTGCTCTCTAATGCAAAACCTTAATGGTAGCCTCAAACACTTCATTGGTTCAGGGCCTAAGGTATTATTTTAAAAGGAACCAGCTTTTGGTTAAAACTAGCTTTTGGTTTGAAATTTTTTACATACTAATTACTCCTGAGGGCATTCTGCGCCAAAAAAATTAAAAATTCTGCGCACAATATTTTAAATTCTGCAAAAATTCTGCAAATTTTATTCGTCAAATAAATGTGGAGGCTTCAGCATTGCACTGGGGAGCACAGAGGTGGGAGATCACTGTGCAGCTCCTCCTACCCCCCGGGAAATGGACTCAGCAGTAAGGCTGCACCCAACCCTGAAACAGCGCAAGGATCGGGCCTGTTCCAGGAACATCCCAGAGCCGTGCCCCTCGGTGCCAGGTACACCAGGCGCAGACAGGCAGGCTCAGCAAGGCAGGATCCAAGTGTGGAGGGGCTTAGTGTGGGGAGAATCCAGGTGTGGGTTGAGAGAGTTCTGTGTGGGGCAGTCTGTGTGTGGGTGGCTCAGTGGGGAATCTGAGTGTGTGTGTGGGATGTGGCTGCACAGGGGCTTGTTGGGGGGAGTCTTAGTGCAACGGTAAGGGGACTCTGCAGGGGGTCCAGGTGAAGGTGGTTGGGACTCAACAGGGGGGTCTGAGTGTGGGGGGAATAGAGCTCAGCAGTGGGGTCTGGGTGTGGGGAGCTCAGTGGGGGAAGCCAGATGCTGGGGGAGTAGGGCTCAGTGGGGTTTGGCTCCAGGTTCAGCTGGTTGGTGCTCAGTAGGGTGGGGATCCGGGTGTGGGTGACTTGTTGGGATGGTCCAGGTGCAGGGTGAGTGGGGATCGTCGGGGGGGTTCTGGGTGTGGGGTGGGTGAGGCTCGGCGGAGGGTCTGGGTATGAAAGTCTGGATGCACAGGGGTTGGACGGATGGGGGAGCAGCTCCCTGTACAGAGATACCTCCCCCTGCAGCTGAGGAGTGATGGATGCAGGAAGCACTGGATATGTATGTGTTGGGGGGAGAGTTTGCAGAGCTTTCTACAGCTGTGGGGAGAAATCTGGGTGTGATCTGACCCGGCCCTGGATGCTGTGCAGGGGAAGAGGAAGTCCTGTCCTCCCCAGCCGAGCCGGGAATAGCAGCTGAGTCCAGCACAGGGTAGGAGACACCAGCCGTGTCTTCCCCAGTCCCATCCCCCCCCCACAGTGATTTACCTCTCTGCCGGCTGCCTTGGGCACCCAAAACATACTGCTGGGGAGGGTTGCATCACTGCTTTTGCGGGGGACATAAATTCTGCATATGTGCAGTGGTGCAGAATTCCCCCAGGAGTAATTTAATGTTAAAGGTAGCACCTAAGATTAGAAGAGAATTTTATTTATTTATTTATTTTATTTTATTTTGGTATTTTTGCTTTTGACAGTACTTTATGTATACTTAGTTTCAATGATTTCCCTCCCCATCCCCATAGATCAGTGCTTTTCAAAGCCGGTCCGCCACTTGTTCAGGGAAAGCCCCAGCAGTCCGGGCCGGTTTGTTTACCTGCCGCGTCCACAGGTTCAGCCGATCGCGGCTTCCACTGGCCGCGATTCGCTGCTCCAGGCCAATGGGGGCTGCGGGAAGGGCCTCAGCCCGCGCCGCTTCCCGCAGCCCCCATTGGTCTGGAGCAGCAAACTGTGGCCAGTAGGAGCCGCGATCGGCCGAACCTGCGGACGCGGCAAGAAAACAAACCGGTCTGGACCGCCAGGGGCTTTCCCTGAACAAGCGGCGGCCTGACTTTGAGCAGCACTGCCATAGATAGTTGGTTAGTTAACAGATGTGTCAACATGTGTGCATAGGATTTCCACAGAATGAGGAAATTAAAAATGTGGTTTTCAAATGACTAAAATTGACAGGGGCTCAGCAGCAGGTGTAGCACTTGAAGTTGATTAGACTACAATTTGGAGTGTTAGATAACAAAACGTCTCATGTAAGCCTATTCCAGAAGAGCCTGTGAAATGTTTTAATAATTGCCATGCAATCACCATAACAAATGTTTATGTAAGAACAGGTGTACATTGGTTTCCATTCTTAAAAATACTTTTCATTCCTGTAGTGCCTTTCATCTCCCCGATCTCTGTACTTTACAAACTCTTCTGAAGTGACTAGATATTATTATTCCATATCCTAACAGATGGAGAAACTGACTCTAAGGATAGTTATGAAATTAAAAGAATTAAAGTTATCTTAAATTTGGTTAAGAAAATAATGTCTGCTTATTGTTTGTGGCTTGTAAGGAAAAAGCCCCAATCAGCAAGTAAAAGAAAGCCGAGAGAATAATAAGTAGTATTACTTGCAGTGTGGGAAGGATGTTGGTTCAAAAAGTAACTAGTAAAATAAAGATCTACAGTAACAAGACAAATAAAAACGGTCTTAAAAGAAACAAGCACAAACTTTCCTACTGTTCTGTTGGTCAGCAAAAAGGAGGGGAAGAGATAGGGAGGAAAGGCCTTGGGAAGAAAGGAGGTTGTAAATCTTATCTGGATTAAGATTAGAAATAAAGGTTATTTGTCTCACATTGGTTTTTAGTTGAAGCCAGTAATTGGCAATGACATCATTTGTTAAAGGGTATAAAAAGTAAATTCTTAAAGGGTTCATTGCTAATACCTACCTGACTGTTTGGGAGCCAACCAATATGGATCTAAGCAGCCCTGGGTTTAGGCTGTTTGTAAGTATCTTGATCAAATGCTTATAAATGTTTTATTACTGTTTGGATGTAGTAAATTGCTTATTATTTAGGCTTTGGGGGCATGTTTAGAGCAATTGGATTTAACAAAGGAATTTATGGTTACATTAGAGTTTGGTGATTTCCCATATTAATATCAATTTCAGGTAGGGCTATTGATTAATCACAGGTAACTCACACGATTAACTCAAACAAACTAATCACGATTAATCGCAGTTTTAATCGCACTGTTAAACAAGAGACTACCCATTGAAATTTATTAAATATTTTGGATGTTTTTCTACATTTTCATATATATCTTGTATTCTGTGTTGTAATTTGATTACAAATATTTGCACTGTAAAAATGGTAAACAGAAGAAATCGTATTTTTCAATTCATCTCATACAAGTACTGTAGTGCAACCTGTTTGTCCTGAAAGTGCAACTTACAAATGTAGATTTTGTTTGTTACTTAACTGCACTCAAAAACACAACAACGTAAAACTTTAGTCCTACTTCTTGTTCAGCCAATCGCTAAGACAAACAAGTTTGTTTACATTTACAGGAGATAATGCTGCCTGCTTCTTATATAGAATGTCACCAGAAAGTGAGAACAGGCATTTGCATGGCACTTTTGTAGCCAGCATTGCAAGGTCTTTACGTGCCAGATATGCTAAACATTTGTATGTCCTTTCATGCTTCGGCCACCATTCCAACCGACGTGCTTCCATGCTGATGACGCTCGTTTAAAAAAAAATGCATTAATTACATTTGTGCCTGAACTCCTTGGGGGAAAATTGTATGTCACCTGCTCTGTTTTACCCACATTCTGCCATATATTTCATGTTATAGCAGTCTCAGATGATGACCCAGCACATGTTGTTCATTTTAAGAACACTTTCACTGCAGATTTCACAAAACGCAAAGAAGGTACCAATGTGAGATTTCTAAAGATAGCTGCAGCACTCTACCCAAGATTTAAGAATCTGAAATGCCTTCCAAACTGTAGAACCTGACCCACCAAAAAAGAAAATCAACCTTCTGCTGGTAGCATCTGACTCAGATAATGAAAATGAACATGCATTGGTCCACACTGCTTTGGATGATTTTCGAGCAGAACCCGTCATCAACATGGATGCATGTCCCCTGGAATGGTGGTTGAAGCATGCTCATCTGGCACGTAACTATCTTGCGACGCCAGCTAACAGTGCCATGAGAACATCTGTTCTCACTTTCAGGTGACATTGTAAACAAGAAGGGGGCAGCATTATCTCCTGCAAATGTAAACAAACTTGTTTGACTACGCGATTGACTGAACAAGGAGTAGGACTGAGTGGACTTGCAAGCTCTACAATTTTACATTTTTTATATTTTTGAATGCAGTATTTTTGTACATAATTCTATATTTGTAAATTCAACTTTCATGATAAAGAGATTGCATTACAGTACTTAGGTGAATTGAAAAATACTATTTCTTTTGTCTTTTTACAGTGCAAACACTTGTAATCAAAAATAAATAAAAAGTGAGCACTGTACACTTCGTATTCTGTGTTGTAATTGAAATCCATATATTTGAAAAAGTAGAAAACATCCAAAATATTTAAATTAATGGTATTCTATTATTGTTTAACAGTGCGATTAATCGCAATTAATTTTTTTAATTGCTTGACAGCCCTAATTTCAAATATTAATAATTCCAACATGGACACATTAGATTAAGTCACTAATATAGACTTCCAAGTCAAAGTAGCAAGTAATTGGCAGACTAGGAAATAGAAGCCGCATTATCTGACTCCTATTCCCCTTCAAGGAGGAACATTCTCTTTAGATCTCTGTGTGTGTGTGTGTGTGTGTGTGTGTGTGTGTGTGTGTGACCTGCTGAATTTTTATGAGAAAGCCATGAGAAAATACAGCACCCTCTCAGTGAGTCATAGTACACCTTCAGTTTTTCTATTCTTATATCACAATCAAATGGCTGGAAGTTGAAGCTAGACGAACTCAGACTGGAAATCAGTCGTAAATTATTGACAGTGAGGGCGATATGAGGGAAACTCTATTTTAAAATCCCTAGATCCCTGGTTTCCATTTTAAATAAGCAAGAGTCATTCCATTAGTAGATGGAAGCTGCAGGTCACAGAGCACTAGATATAGAATTGGCAGGAAAACCAAATTGGTGAGGGAAAAGGTGTGAAACAACCAGTGATCGAGTAGGTCATGCCACTGTGAGGTAAATAACAATGGCAGGCTAAAAAATAGAACTGACAGCACAATAAGGTAAACAAGTAGGATGATATCATGTGTCTAAAAACAGAATTGAGAAATGGTATAAAGGTCAGTGTGTCAGTTGATAGCTGACAGTTAAGAAGAGAATACTCTTGGAAAAACAGCAGCAGAGGGAGTCTTGACCTGTCACAGGAGTTGAGCAGAGAGAGAGAAGAACTGCTGCCATCAACTTCCTGTGGAGACTGATCACCTGCACAGAACGTTGCCAACTCAGCTTCACCACTAATTGGAGATGTGCAGTAGCACAGAGAGAGAGCGAGCACAGGAGAGACATTGCAGCATAGGCAGTAAATGGAGAAAGTCTGTCAGACAAAGTTAGTCATTGTTATAGTGTTAGTGTGTATGTGTGTGTGAGGGCATTAATAAAGTTGTATGAATGTGTGTTAATTGTGGGAAGAATTTACATATATAAGCCTTAAAGAACATATAAGAACTGCTCTCAGTGACCTGTGAAAGATTGGCTATCTGAAGTGAGATGCAGCTACCTAGGATAATCTCAACTGTATGTTGTTGCTATTTGGGGTGCTCTATAATTTATTTTAAGGGATTTGTTTTTTGGTTATTGTGTCAGGGATTGATGTTTACACCAATAAAAAGGTGACTGTTTGTGTCCGTCGTTTATCGGAAAGCTATATCCATGTCTTCCAAGTATTTCCTTAGCCACCCTGGAGACCCATACCTAATGAGAACAGATTTAGTTATATTCTATGGGGACCCTACATCCATTTTCAGAGTAACAAGGGTAATTAACCATTGGAACAGTTAATTACCAAGTTAATTACCAAGAGTGGTGGTTGATTCTCCATCACTGACCATTTTTAAAACAATATTGGATGCTTTTTAAAAATATCTGCTCTAGGAATTATTTTTGGAAAGTTCTCTGGCCAGTGTTAGACAGAAGATCAGAGTAGGTGATCCTTGGAATCTATGGATCTTTATTCTTCCTTGAAACTTAACTTGCTGTCTAACATGTTGAAAAATGACTGTTTAGTCTAGATCTAGATTTGCTTATAGGTGGCATAACCTATTTATACTACGTCATGAATTAAAATGGCATGAGCTAGAATAATATTTCCTTCCTCTCCCCCACATTCCTCTTATGTGGTTACCTTTGTCACAGCAAAATGTGGAGGAATGTCTTCTGGATAAAGAGATACAATTTCTTAGGCTGGGATTTTCAGAGTAGCCTGTGGGCTTTAGGTGTCCAAACCCCATTGAAAGTAAGTGGGAGTTGAGCACCTCATTCTTTTAGGGTTTGTAACCAGTTAATAATTTGTTGTCAACTAACAATCTGTGGCCACCCACCTGGCTAATATGCGTTAACTTTAGAAAATTACCTGTCTACTTTGCAAATGTCCTAGGCTGTCACATGGTTGTTAGCTAGTAACTTGGTCATCATACTTACTTTGAGGCGTAAATGATGCTCCTACTTCTGCCTACATAACCAGATAGGCAAGTTGACTTTCCTACTAGTCCTCTTTGGTAGGACATCCAGAATTTATTGCCCCACTTATTGCTGCTCTGTGCATATCTGCTAAACACGCTACCTCTCCTTTCTGTAAAGCATTACAGGATAGTGCCCTGATTTTCTTAGGGTTGGTGTGACATTCTATACCTTGGGGGAGTGTGCTGTAATCCCCATATTCCTCATTTTCATATAATCGTGATCTTGTGTATAAAGTATGCCTTGTAAAGTATCGGGGAAAGGTTATGATCTGCTGAAAGTCATTTCTCTACCCATATAGATATATCATTAATGCATATGAAGTTATGAGAATTGAGTAATACGGTTGTCACTGAAACATGCTGTAAGTTGGGAGAATCAGCCAGATATTGGCTCCCCAGAGGCAACAGCAAGGAAAGTAACCAATGCCTTGATGGGGTGTCAAACAACCCATCAACAGCCATTGTCCAGCAAGGGAGCTACAATGCAATGACTCACCTGGCGAATTGCTCAACCTTGCTTGGAGAGACTCAGTAATGTTCACCTGACTCTAAAAGGGTGGGGTGGGGGGGAGCCAAGAGGGAGGAAAGTATATGATAAAAGGAAGAGACATTTGCCATGCTCTTCCTCTCTCTTCCACCTACACCTACAGACACCACACCAAGCGACTGATCAAAGGGGCGAGCCTGGCTGAAGAGCAATCAGCCAGCCTGTGTCGAGAAGCATCTAAGTTTGTAAGGGCATTGAAAGTGTTAAGATCAGCTTAGAATGCATTTTGCTTTTATTTCATTTGACCAAATCTGACATGTTATGTTTTGACTTATAATCACTTAAAATCTATCTTTGTAGTTAATAAATTTGTTTTTGTTCTACCCGAAGCTGTGTGTTTGGTTTGAAGTGTGTCAGTGACTCCCCTTGAGATAACAAGCCTGGGACATATCAATTTCTTTTTTAAATTGACAAACTTATATAAGTTTGCAGCCTCCAGAGGGCATAACTGGATACTACAAAGATGCAGGTTCCTAGGGTTGTGTCTGGGACAGAAGATACTGGCTAGTATCATTCGGTTGCAAGTAGTTAGGAGCAGTTTACATTCCAGAGGCTGTGCATGAACAGCCCAGGAGTAGGGTTCTCACAGCAGAGCAGGGTAAGGCTGGCTTCCAGAGTCAAGGATTGGAGTGACATGGCAGATCACAGGTCCAGATAACACCAGAGAGAACATCACAGTTGGATGCAAGGAATAGACAGCTTCTGAGACTTCCGTGTCTTTTGGTATAAGACTGCATTAAAAATCTATGTTGCATGGACTAAAAAAGTCTTCCATTGATGATTGTTCCTCAAGTGCATTCTCCACAACTTGGGTTGAGAAAAGGATGCCCAAATTCTATGAAATTATAAAGGCAGCCCTTTGAACGTTCTCTTACATCATTTCACATTGTTACAAATTTGACAGGGATTTCAGTTTTGGCCAGCCAGTCCTCTGCATTGTGCTTCATTAATACTACTTGCCTTTTGGGCGGGAAACAGTTCTGTGTATCTGAGTACTGTTGGTGTTTTCAGTGTCCGGGCTGGTTCAGAGAATGGCATAGTAAAATCTTCTTAATGCACTTTGACTGAAAAACCCTAGAAAACAAACATGCTTGTTTACTTCCTTGTTCACAAAATTCAGTAATTTGGCAGTCATGGCACAATTTAATTTTGATATTTTGTAATATACAAGTAAATTTAAGCACATTATTTTAAAGATAGTAAACTGTTAATAGTTTGAGACCTCACAGAGACTTCTACTGAATATTAGAGAAATGAAGGGAAAAGGTAATTGTTAACAATATACAGATAAAATTCTACTGTAGGTTTTTTACCTACTATTTTGTTGTCAGTCTTTCGATAACATCCCATTCTGTATTTTGTGAATTGGGATGATTTGTATTTTACTTTTTAAAGAGCTGCCATGATTAGCAACAATGCCAGACCCAAGCCCAGATACAAGAGGAGGATTCTGCAGCTGGGTTTGCTACCCACTCATGTAAAACCTTACTGCACCAGAAACAGTTCAGTGAAACCAAAAGTTGAGGGGAGTAGGTGCAGGTAGAGCTCAAAACCCAAGTAGTCACATCTCAATGAAAGCTGAGATTTTGAGACATCAAATCCTGAAGACCAAGTCTGTAACAAGAATAGGGACGTGGAATATATGGAAAGCTGGCACATGTTACGTGAGAATTGAAAAAATATCATCTGATACTTTGCATCCGTGAGATGAAAAGGTCAGAGAGTAGCAAGATGGTGTCTGATGGCACTATAATCTTATTGATGAGGAGGAATGCACAAAATAGGTATAGGAATTATTCTGCATAACCTTACAGTGAAGACCGTGTTGACTTGGGAGCCAGTGAATGACCGAATAGTACCAGCCAGCTGGAAATAAGGCCTTTCAAATATACAATAATCCTTGTCTATGCACCAACAAACACAGTAGATGATACTGAAAAGGATACTTGCTGCACCTGCTCATAGAATGTATTGGATGACATGTCTAACCATGACATCAAATTGATGATTGGTGACTTCAGTGCACAAATTGGCAACAACTCTGTTGACTTGGAAAGAGTGATAAGCTCAACAGCGGAAGGCATCTGAACTGATAATGGCTCATAAATCTCTGTGGTACAAACACTCTAAAGATAAGAGGCAGTTTCTTCCAGCAAGAGGTTTTACAGTCTCACAAGGACATCACCAGTGAATGCAACTGGGTGTATATCTAAGAGGTGGAATTTTTTTTGTGGGGTGTCTCAGTCATCAGAGAAGCAATGTTGGCTCAGATCATTATTATTTAGTGTTATAGCTGTAGATAAGTTCAGAATCAAAGAAATGCAGATCAGATTGCATTTAGCAACTGTTCCAGTGTTTTACAGGACCAGGTTGATAAAAGTGTGGAAGACAGAGGACCAAACTGGAAGAAAAATGTATGGAGACAGCAGAGGAAGTAGTGGTCCTCTGAAGAGTGCAGAAGAAAGATGCTTGGATTACATCTGGAACATAGGCAGTGATCGATGAATGGGCAGCACTGAAGGTAAAAAAGGAACAGTGCAAAATGCGGGTAGAAGTGTTAGAGGCATATGCAATATATGGACAAAAAGACAAAGAAGAGATGCAGGCAAGATAAACATGGTTCTTCTTTGAGTGGTTGTTCATGTCCATTCCAACCAGGTATGTGCGCGCCGCATGCATGCCAGCCGGAAGATTTTCCCTTAGCAGCGTCCATAGTGTCGGCGTGGGCCCTACTGACCCTCCACCCCCTCAGTTCCTTCTTACCACCGGTGACGGCTAACTGGAACTTCGCTCACTCCTATAGCAACACTTTAGCAGTGTCTGATAGCATACCATGTATATAGTTTCTCAGTGAGTTAATAGTTGTTCTTTATAGTTGTAGTTAGTTGGTTGGATGCCCCCCCCCCATCAACAACATTTCTTCTCCTGGGGTATGCGTGGGTCTCCAGGATTTAAGCTCTGCGAGGACTGTGGCAAGTTTATGCCCAAGAGTGATCCTCACTTTTCCTGTTTGCGGTGCCTTGGTGAGAGTCACCAGAAGGAAAAGTGCCACATCTGCAAGGATTTCCGTCCGAGAACCCTCAAAGACTGGGAACAGAGGCTAAAACTTCTGTTGGTGGAGGCGGCGTTGAGGCCACACTCCAACCCAGGACCAGCCAAACCGGCACCGAGTACATCCTCATCGGTGCGCAGTGCTTCAGCGCCAATAGCGGCCGAAACGGCACCAACTAAGGACTCTTAAGGCCCCCCAGCACTGCGACGGCTCGGGCCATAAGAAGTTGGCCTCAGCATCGCACCTCTCTCAATCCCCGGTGCTGGTAA